TCATCTCTTAGTCAAAATAGGTATTTTATATAAACGGTGAGTTCCATATAAAGTACATAATATTTGTGCTTGTATTGCAAGGCACTAGAAGGCACTACATTGGTTTAATACTTCGTGTATGGCAAATCTTAGTATGTATGAGAAAGTGTGAATTTATTATAGGCACACAGTTTAATAGCGAGCGAGTGTGACACATATTTTAATCGACTGAGGTCCAGGTTGCCTCACGATGTTTTCCTTCACTGTTTGTCAGTGGCGTCTAGATAATCTTAGAAAGTACATATAAGGGTATGGTCGGGTACAATCAATTGAAGGTGCGTCAAGAGTTTACTCTTACCACCTATTTGGTGAAATTGATTCGGGGAATGGAACATAACCCAGATGTTCTTCAAAGAATCAGTTTGTGGGTACCTGACAACTATGTAAGGAGGCAGCGGCGCCCGCCTCTGTTGGCGGTGCCGGTGGCTAGGACGAACTTACTGGCGAAAGCCGCGGTTACGCAAGCTATCCGTAATATAAATCTTGTGCACGAGCAAATAGATGTTTTTACCTGTCAGCCGAGTGAATTCACAAAGATTCTGTTATATAATTTATGTTATAGATAGACAATAATAATAATGCTATTTATTTGTCTTTATTTTATAAAATTTAATACAAGGTTTGTTTTTCTCTGTAATTGTTTGGATTACTTTATTCGTTAGTATAAGTTTAATATGGTGTAAGTAGTCGCTAGATCTTGTTATCGCATTGGGTCCTAAACCTGTAATGTTAACTTGTGTGTGTAATAAATAAATAAATAAACATGGAAAAAGTCATATGTGTACTTGCTGTTGGTAGGTTTCGAATACGCATTCTCAAGTATGAGAAGCGGGCGTCTTAAACCTACGAGCTACACGCGCTGTGCACGTTGATTGTCTTGAACCAACCAATCAGAGGTCTTAGTACGAGTTTCTGTTACACATTAGACAGAGACCGGGCAGCAGCGTTTTCTGATAAACCTGAACCTTTAAGATTGCGATCTCCTCAGCCTCGTTGATGATAATGATAAATCAAAATTAAATGAAATAAAATACTGTGTGCGAGTGTGTACCTCGCTCGCTAGTTAATTAATATTGTGACCTATGACATATACAAATATAGTTCAAAATTCTTCACAAACTGTGTAAAAACTATTCAATAGATACAATAGTTCTTGTGTATAACAAACTTGCAGTTTTGCATAGTAAACATGATTAAATAAATATATTTATAGTTAAAATACGTATCCATTGTAAAACTCGATTCGGTGGCAATATAGGTAATTTCAAAAATTTTATAATTGGGTAGTTTCCGGGGTATCAAGATTAAAAATCTAATTAGTCCGTCGGTTAGATAATGAAAAAAATATTAGACACGTATTTTTATTTTCTCTTATTAAGTTGCAATACTTAGATAAAATGACGCTAAGTTTAGAAGTGGGAGGTCGTTACGTCATAACGTGCTACAAAATGTGGCACACTGTGACGTCACACGATATTTCAAATTAATATATCGTCGAAAGTATTTAATTTTTTGAGAAAAGTAAAAATACGTGTCTAATGTTTTAAATTAATGTACCAGACGGACATTAAAATAAAATTTAGGAAACTACCCTATTCAATTATATTTTGACTGATCTTAGTATAGAATGCAAAACCCTAAGCTTAGCAGTCGAATTTGTTACATTATCTATACACATCATATAAAATTAACACCAATATAAAAAATAATAATAAACATTACGAGATTCATAACAGGACGAAATATACTTAAATAATTAATTTTAATTACAATAAAAATTATATAATATGTAATTATAATTATAAAATTAGGACGGAAAGTCTATAACAAATAAGGGCTAATTTATTATTAACTTAATTACTTACATATTTTAGTTATTAATTAAGATACTCTCCACGTTACGCCATTTGACGAATGCAGGCATCCTTCACATCACAAACGATACACGGATTTAACTTTTTTTTTATATACTAATGGACCCAACAGACGACCTGCATATCCACTTGAATGTATAAACAAAAATTCATTCAAATTACTTCAGCTGTTTAGGACAATTAATAATCTAAACATCGACTGCAGCGCCATCTGCCGGGCTGATTTGTGAATCTAAACCATTCCCAGATCCCCTTGAACACACACAAAAAATTTCATCAAAATCAGTCCGGTCGTTTGAGAGAAGTTCAGTGACATACACACTCACAGAAGAATTATATATATAAAGATTTGATGGGCCGACGTTTGCCACTATCTCGCCTGGTGGTAAGCGATGATGCGGTCTACGATGGAGCACGTCGTCCCATAAGCAACCTATTCACTCGGGCTTTGAAGACTCCCAGGTCAGGAAATATAGATACTGGCAAAGAATTCCACTCTTTAGCAGTTGCCGCCTCGTGGACAATGTTCATAGCATCTAAGCAAGAAGCGAGCATTTGTCATTTATACCGCCTATTATTTGTGAAGGTGATATTGTCAGGGGATCCGACAGAGAACTAAAGTTACCGATGTAGCCCAAAGGATTAGCAAGCTGAAATGGCAGTGGGCCGGTCACATTTGTCGAAGAACCGATGACCGCTGGAGTAGATGTGTTCTGGAGTGGAGACCGCGTCTAGGCAAACGTAGTGTAGGGCGCCCTCCAGCTAGGTGGAGTGACGATATACGTAAAGTGGCTGGTAGTGGTTGGATGCGTAGAGCTGAAGACCGAGCTCAGTGGCGTGCCATTGGAGAGGCTTATGTCCAGCAGTGGACGAAAACAGGCTGTTGATGATGAATGTTTGTGAAGGATGTATGCATTCGTCAAAAACGCAACGTGGACAGTTACCTTACGTAAGAATTGAAATTGCTACAATACAGATTCGATTAAAACAGTCCCAATAACCTATTCCGGCCGACATTAAAACATATTTTAGATTTAGTAAATTTTTTTATACCACGACGGTGGCAAAAAGCACGCGTCCCACCTGATGGTAAGCGGTTACCGTGACCTATGTACGCCTGCAACACTTGGGGCATTACATGCGTCTTGCCGACCCTTAAGAAACCTATTTACTCCCCTCTTGAAGAACCCCATGCTGTAGCTTCGCTTAGCTTAAAATCTTTTGATTTTAGGATAAAAAATAAAAAATGTGTTCTGAAATCTTATTAATCACACTAATATTATACTAATTATATAGCTGGCTAGCTAGCTTCTGCCAGCGGCATCACCCGCGTTTCCAAAAAGGGTTAAAAAGGAGCCTATGTTTTTTTTTATGACATAAGCCGGTAAACGAGCATACGGATCACCTGATGGTAAGCAATCGGCGCCGCCCATGGACACCTGGAACACCAAGGCGTTACAAGTGCGTTACCGGCCTTTTGGGGATAAGGAGTTTGAGGATCGTTGGGGTTTCAGGAATTGGGGAGATTAGGGAAGGGGAGGGTAAATGTACTTCAGATTCAGACCATAATATACCTCTCTTTCAAATTTCATTCCGGCATTTCTTCAGCCGGTTTGATGTGACTAAGTAAGAAACAAACACACATAACATCTATCGTGTAAAAAAACCCCTTTTTTGCTGTCAGTCCAAAATTCCATCTGTTTTAGACAAATATACCGATTGTTAGGTTACTGAGACTGACCATATCTTGTAAAAATGTTAATTAATATTCGTTATTTCGTAACAAACGTTATAATTAATTAAAATAAGGTACTTTATTAATTGCGGACCATTTCAATTCCCTTTGGAGACCCGGTGCATTGTAAAACTATATCTAGATACAATTTTATGCGTAGACATGAACAGATCTAAGATTTGATAATATTTTTCTCGTAACAATGTTGTTATTATGTATTTTATTGATTTTCTCAACTAAGAGTTAGTCTAAAGCCATATTAATTTATATTCCCTTTATTCTATTCCAAAGTACCCCATTCAATTTGTTTTTTTATATAAATCAATTTATAATAACATTTTCTAATTGTATTAAGGTCGAAATCACTAACCAATCCTAAATGTGGGAGAGCCATGCTTCGGCACGAATGGACCGGCTCGACCGGAGTGATACCACGGCCTCACAGAAAACCGACGTGAAGCAACGCTTGCGTTGTGTTTCGTCGTGTGAGTGCCAAAATCCCAGAATCCCCCACAATCCTCAAATTCTAATCCCCAAAAGGCCAGTAACGCACTTGTAACGCCTCTTGTGTTTCGGGTGTCCATGGGCGACTCCGATTGCTTACCATCAGGTAATCCGTCCGCCAGGTTACCGGCTTGTGCCATAAAAAAAAATCTCGAACCAAAATCTTTGAATTTTTGACAAAGTAATCTTTTTATGGACAAGGAGGCAAACGAGCTCAAATGAGATCTAGAGATCTGAGGATCAAATGATGGTAAGCGATTAGCGAAGTTACATGGACACCGGCAATACTAAAGAGGTCACAGGTGAGTTACCGGCCATTAAAAGTTCTTTGAATATTTGTCAAAAACTTAGATCGATCCAAAAAGGATTAAGATTTGTTATTAATTTCGACTTAAACAATATATATTTTAATTTTTGCTTAAACTAAGTGGCGCTAGTGATGCTTTGAGACACAGCTATTATTAGTTACGTCACGTACCTTCCTCTCATTCCTAAAATTGGCAAAAACACATCCACATAGAAAAATCTTCATTTAAAATAACTATCGTGAGACATACTAAATTAACTAAAAATCGCGGGTTACTCATGCGTCGCGACTGCGCACGCTGTTCATGAGGAAGAGCCTCTCTGTCGCTCGAAACTAGTAGAGCTTGTAACTCGCGATTTCTAGTTAATCTTCATTTAAACGCCCAAAAACGACACCAGCGCCACCTACATAGCAAAAATGTACAATTTCATCTCACCAAATACTCTTAAAATCACACGGGAGTCTCGAGGCTGCCTTCGACGGGGGGCGGGGGCTCCACAGTCAGGGGCGTAGCCTCGTCAGGGTGGTCCGGGGCCGCGTATCATATTTGTGAGGCTGGCATTGTTGACACAGTGCTGTGTGGAGTCGTGGGGCGAGAGCCAGCTAGAGACGCGTTGAGGGAAGCCATTGTACCCATCTGTGAAAAGGTTAGGTGATAATTAACAATAGGTTTCTTTCTATATAGGGTACACCCTATATTACAATATTACATACATACATACAAACATAACTTCACGCCTGTCTCCCATGGGGGTAGGCAGAGACTAAGGAACGCCAATTATTACGATTCTTACATACCTCTTTGGCTTCATTAACAGTCATCAATCTTTTCATGCATGCTCGTCGGTTAAGGGTACTTTTAATTTGGCCCTTCTTTAATATATCGCCAATCTGGTCACTATATGTCCGTCTAGGGCGCTGTGTACTTCTTTAATTACTCTACTTTCGTCCATCCTTTCTACATGTCCAAACCAGCGTAACATTCCCTTTTCAATCCTTGTCACTACATCATCTTTCAATCCACACCTTTCTCTAATAACACTATTTTTCACTCGGTCACTCAATTTTAGTCCTTTTTTTCATTATATTAGTATAAGATAGATAAGAACGAGATAATTCTTTTACAAAGTACGTTTTAAAAACCGACTTGTACCCCCACTCTTTTAACTCGGTTAAATAATATACAGACAGACTGATAGACTATAATCACTGGATAATATATCAGAGAGATAGTAAAACATATATTTTTATTTTTTAATATGTCAGGATACGCTGGAAAAAATACACTGTAACACCTTTTGTTCTGTATTTTAGCAAATAAACATTTTTGATTTTATTTGATTAAAAGAGTAACGAATGGGGTTTCTTGATCGTTCTTATCCATTCGAATCTACATTTCGGAACGAGCACCTAGCTTCACCTAGCTTCACTGACGGACAGACTGACAAGACTAATTTATTTTTCAAATCAAATTTTTTTGTTTTTTTTTTCAAATCAAATCATCAATTTTGTATTAGTTGACGTCTCAAAAGTACCAAATTATGGTTTAATTGAAATAAATAATTTGACTTTGAACAGCCAGTTCGATTTGAAAAATATTTTTCGTTGAATATGCCCGAATACTGAAACGCTACTCAATTTTAAGTCACGCTTAAGTATAGTTCTGTCTCCACAAATTCTTTGTAAAATGACACAGACAGCATGACATTTAAGCACGACTTAAAATTGAGTAACGTTTCAGTATTCCAGCATTAGTCCATTTAAATCCGAGCAGAGCGAGTAAACCATCGCGGGAGTATTTAATAAAAAATAAACTAAAACTTACCCTTAAATGTGCCAAATCTTCCAGTTTAGTCAGATCAGCGAGCTCCAAGTACAGACTGTAAACTAATACCCATCCATACATGCCGACCACACAGAATACGATCCAGCATAGACACATGATCACATTGTAGGCGAATATCATGTCGTTCACTATGGACGCAAATATAAACGCGATCAGACGAAACACTATGAACACTCCAAATGTGAACAGCCAGGGTACTATACGCTTCTCATATTCCTGTAAAGAAAGAAAGATGGTATTAGATTGTTTTGTCGAATAGGAGGCAAACGAGTAGACGGATCATCTGATGGTAAGCAATCGGCGCCGCCCATGGACACTCGAAACACCAAGGTGTTACAAGTGCGTTATCGGCCTTTTGGGTATTGAGAATTTGAGGATTGTGGAGGATTCGGGGATTCGGGAGACGGGGACTAGGGAGGGCGGTAATTGGGCCTCCGGTAACCTCACTCATACGACGAAACACAACACCGCCGTGGATTTTTTTTTTATAGCTAAAGCCGGTAGTTATTTTAAATGAAAATTTTTCTATGAGGATCTGTTACAAGTTCCTTTATAGGCCTTTTGGGTATTGAGAATGAGAACGAGAACGCAAGCGTTGCTTCACGTCGGTTTTCTGTGAGGCCGTGGTATCACTCCGGTCGAGCTGGCCAATTCGTGCCGAAGCATGGCTCTCCCACACTTAAAGTGGTAATCAGAGTGGACCTACAGAGGAATCACATCACCTTATCAAAATAAGATTTTTTATGGTAATGCGGGTGAAACCGCGGGCAAAAGTTAGTTGGAGATGAAAGTGTATGATGCAATTCTTACCTTATTCTTTCCTTGTATAACATACTACAGGATGATAGCATGGGTGAATAAATAATGAATTAATGAGTGCATCAGTGTATTATCAGTGATAAAGGAAATTAAGAATAGTTGGGTAGTTTACAACTAGTCAAATTCAATACTTTTATTGAAACGTCAAAAACGATACTGTTTTAAGAATTTTGTACGTAATACCATCTTATGACGTCATCATATTTTCGCGGCAAATAGCACACAACAAAAAATGCGAGAATAAATCGAAAATTAAGTACATCGGCAAATCAATGAATGAAAGTGTAACTATTTTTCAATATTTCATTGGACTGAAAAATCAAAATAATTTATTTTTGACCCAGGAAACTACCCAATTGTGTACTAGCCAACTAGTCAAATTCAATACTTTTTTCGAACTGTCAAAAACGACAGTTTTCTATGAATTCTGTACGAGATTGTGTATTGTGACGTCATGTTTTTTAGCGTCAAACAGCATAGTTATTTCGTAAAAATTTTCGAGATAAATGTTAAATTGAGTTGGTCATAAAGTCAATTAATGAAAGTGTGATTATATTTTAATATTTTATTGTATTGAACAGTCGAAATAATTTATTTTTGATTAAGGCAAGTACTTTTTAGGGAACAGAGAGTATAGTTCCCTAAGATCGGAAAAGGAGGTTCCTCCGACCAGGCGAGGTGATCGTGCCTGGCGGGCTTTCTGCCCAACAGTTGTTCGTTGGGATTTTCTATCCGTGATTATTCGCTTGTAAACTTTGCATGTGCGATGTAGGATTCTTGTGACGTCATCCGTTGACATGTGGCATGCGTCGCCACATCACTCCCTCCTAAGACCGGAGGTCGATCCCGCTGAGACGGCTGTCGATGCTTGAGATGAGTGGCGCCAGAGCCAGTGTAGAACGTCCCTAGTTCCAGTGGGTCGGAACCGTGCCGCTGAGTGCCCAGTGAGTCGGGTCAGCGGTGCAGGGTGAAACTCCAGTGAGTCGGAGAGATGCGTTCGCAGTGTCCCACGGTGAGTCGGGGAATAGATGCTGCGAGGGTAGGTGCGTAGTGGCCGGCATCTGCGTTGACGGGAGGAGGTGTCCTTCAGACCGTGTGCAGAAGTGCTGTGCCTAGACGCTGGTGAGGCCGTAGGGAAGAACCAGGCTGCACAACTTCGTTGCAGGTGATGGTGGTCCCTGATGAGGCCGAGGATGCTGGTTGGCTGCGACTTGGTTACCGCTCAGCGGAGAAGTGATGAATGAGAGGGATGGCGATACGGATGACGGTGCTAATCTGCTCCGTGAAGTGAAGGTTGTTTCCAATCACGTCGGGGTCACCACTTTAGGGAACAGAGAGTATAGTTCCCTAAGATCGGAAAAGGAGGTTCCTCCGACCAGGCGAGGTGATCGTGCCTGGCGGGCTTTCTGCCCAACAGTTGTTCGTTGGGATTTTCTATCCGTGATTATTCGCTTGTAAACTTTGCATGTGCGATGTAGGATTCTTGTGACGTCATCCGTTGACATGTGGCATGCGTCGCCACAACTTAATAGAATTAGGTACTAAAATGATTTATTTACATACTTAAGAATACTGAAATGCTACTCAATTTTAACTTGTACTTAAATATCGTGCCGTCTCTGTCATTTTACAAAGAGTTTGTAGTGACAGAACTATACTTAAAACGTTTATTATGTCAGTATAAGGTATAACACATAATGTTACGTATGTGGTGTGGAAAGTGATTAATATGTGCGGCTCTGCTTATCACTTGAGGGAATAAAAAGCGTGATGTAATGATTAAGATTTGTTTTTATATACAAGGTGTTGTTTTAAAGCCGCGTCATTTTCTAGGAGGTAACTCGGCTATCGATTCTGAGTCCGAATCACTTAAAAAAATTGTACGTAAATATTTTTCATTTTTCTGTAAATTACGGAAATCCGTAAGTGCGAACTACACGCCGCCGTATTGTAACTAGTTTTATAACGCGGCTTAACACACATAAAGTCGAACACGTAATTGATATTATTCCTAATTCCATAAAACTCCAATAAGAAACATTGCTGTCGCTTATTCTGAATCGTTCTTAAACGATTTATTATAGCCGTATTTTTAACTAAATTTTTTCTTACATTGAACCTTTATGACTTCTGTGACACGCCCCCGAGAAATGCCACGGTTTCAAAACTACACCTTGTATACTTAAAGTACAACAAAACAAACTATTTAGTATGCAGGTAAAAAAATACTAAAAATGAGTCAGTATAAAGACAATAACTATTGGTTGTGTACTGGCGATCAATGGTAACCAATATGGCTTCGGTTTTATACTAACTATAGTGAGAAATGCTGAATAACTAAAAATTACGAGTAACTCACGTAAATATTTTACTTTTAAACATTGCCCCACACTAAGATTTTCTCCTGTGTCGTGTGTGCGTTTACAAACATACAAGTTCACATACACATCACACACAGACTCGGAACAACAATCTGTGGATCACACAAAGAGTTGTTCCGTGCGGGAATCGAACCCGCGACACGTTGCGCGGCAGCCGGTCCAGCCACCGCACCAACCGTGCCGTCAAATTCAGTCAAAGACAATAACTATTAGTTGTCTACTGAGCCGACCAATGGTAAGCAATATGGCTTCGGTTTTATACTAACGATGGTGAGAAATGCTGAATAACTAAAAATTACGAGTGATTCACGTAAATTGTATTGTCACGTATACTGAGAAAAGCTCTACTAGTTTCGAGTTACAGAGGGACTCTTAGTCATGAGCAGCGTGCGCGGTTGCGGCGCTGTCGCGCGGTCTACTGGATAGGCTTGAAAGTAGACCGCGACCGTATAGGTATTTACATACATGAAATATACGGTCACGCCTTTTATCCCCGAAGGGCTAGACAGGGATGCACAGTACGGCACTTAATGCCACTGTACCATGTAACACCCACTTTTCACTATTTTATCTTATGAGTCCCATGTAATAAGAGGTTAGTCTGTTGCCATATACCGGGCACATTTCCAGACTCCGTGCTACTACTGAGATATTAATAAACGCCCAGTAAATCTTTGCTTTGTTTAAAGCCATGCTAGATACGCTGCTCATGAGGAAGAACCCCTCTGTGGTTCGAAACTAGTAGAGCTTCTCTTAGTATATCCACGTGAGTAACCCGCGATTTCTAGTTAATTTAGTATGTCTCACTGTAATTATTATAAAAACAATATCTACTGTCTCTGTATTGGATTATTTTTTATTTTATTTTTACCTGCGTACGAAATACTTGTCCGACTGTATAATATATTTTAGTTGAAGTCTTTATATCACACCCCCAAAGCAAAGGGGGCTTACTCCTGAATCCAATTCGTATTGTGAAATTTCGTACTCTTGAGCAAAACTAGCGCCCATTGCATCCGTATTGCGTGGATATTGAATAAACTAAATGGTATTGAGTTTGGCTTTATATTCCGTACTCTGAATGTTATTTTAACACATACGATAGGGGTTGTATAGTTTTGACATTGAATAATTAGTGAGTTTTTATTGGATTGAAATTGAATTGACATTGGGATTGGTTTCAAGAGTAAGCACCCTGAAGGAAATAAAGGCAAGGCGAAGTTTATAAATAAAGAAATAAGATTATAAAATTACCTTTCTCAAAGCGTTGATAAGTATAATGCTGGTCACCAGTACTGCAGCAGATCCGAGCCAGGAGAACAGCGCAAATATTATCAGTACATTGCGAACTGAAATTAATTATCACACCTATATTACTTTGATATTTTCTTCGTTTGTATGTTTGTCCGTCAATTACGCTGAAACTACTGAACGGATTATGATGAAATTTGGTATACAGGCAGGGTATGGGCTGACTTAAGTGATAGGATACTTTATATTCCGATTAAATGCTTCAACAGGTACACGCGGGCAAAGCCGCGGGTAAAAGCTAGTATTGTAATTATTATCATCAACAACAACAGCCTAGAAATGCCAACTGATGCCCAAAAGCCTCTTCTTACACGGAGAAGGTTTGAGCATTAATCACCACGCTTACTCTGTGCGGGTTGGCGATTACAGATTTATTATTAGAAACCAGCTGACCCGGCGAACTTCGTATATGATAGTATAATACACGCATATTGCACCCGTGCGAACCCGGGGCGAGTCGCTAGTTATACATATAAATCTTCCTTAAGAATCACTTTCTACTATCTATTTAAAAAAAAACCCGCATTAAAATCCGTTACGTAGTTTTAAAGATCTAAGCATACATAGGGACAGACAGACGGCGGATAGCGACTTTGTTTTATATTATGTAGTGATTAATATTTGTTTAATTAATATGCACAAAGTCTATAATAGGTGAACTTGATGCCGAAAATAAAGTCAAAGTTCAAAGCATTTATTTCAATTAAACCATAATTTGGTATTTTTGAAACGTCAAAAAATACAAAATAAATAATAGTCTATCAGTCAGTCTGTCAGTGAAGCTAGGTGCTCATTTATTAATAATATGGACTTACCTGGTGGACTGCCAACGTATACGAACTGGTAGCTTATGACGTAGTATCCAGTGTGGGTGAAGCCTGGAGTCGCCATGTACAGGCAGTACACCTCGAAGATACTCTCCCCAAATGTGAACAGTGCCATGAACTGGAATGGACATACATACATATTTATTTATTTCAATTAAATTATTCCTGACGCTATAACTCCAGAACGCACGAACCGATTTCCACGGTCTTGCATTCGTTGAAAAGGTCTCGGGCTCCGTGAGGTTTATAGTAAAAAATGTTACATATAACGAAGCCATCTGGTGGCGAAACGGAGTTCGTCAGGTTTGCTAGTTTCAAATAATTATAAAAAGAAAAAACAAAACAAAACAGAAAAGTTCTTAAATGACAAATTGCAATCTTGGTAGAAAAATATAAAATAAAAGAACAAGAAAACCAAACAATAAGACGTACATAACATCACGCTTTATCCCCCAAGGGGAAGGCAGAGGTGTACATTAAGCGACTGTAGAATGTAACACCCACTTTTCACTATTTATGTTATGAATCCCATGTAATAGGGGGTGAGCCTATTGCTATATACCGGACACGATTTCAGACTCCGTGCTATAACTGAGATTTTTTTTAAAACCCAGTAATACTTTGCCCGACCCTGGAAACGAGCCCGAGACCCTTGCCCGGCAGTCGCACTTGCGAGCACTCGGCCAACCCCAATCTCTCCAATCCCAAAAAACAATCCTCAAACTCCTAATCCCAAGATACCGGTGACGCACTTGTAACGCCTCTGGTGTTCCAGGTGTCCATGGGCGACGCCGATTGCTTACCATCAGGTGATCCGTCTGCTCGTTTACCGGTTAACGCCATAAAAAAAGTTTTACCAAAAAAATAAATAATATGCATACCAAAGTAAAGAACCCAGTAAGGAGGGATCCTCTCTGCAGATCCAAGAAGAAGGCATCATGGAGTATCGGTTTCTGATACCACGGCAACCGGAGTGACTTTAATGATTTAGAAGATCTGAGGTTTGTTGATGATCTGGAAAAATAATATGATAAGTTGTGTGAGTGTATGAATGCATAACTGTACTTATATTGTGTTTTAAGTAAATGTCTTATTATTTTATATAGCTACTTCCGCGCGGTTTTACACGCTCTGCTCAACTCATTTTGGTCGTAGAGCGTGATGTTTATAGCCTATAACCATCCTCGATAAATGCGCTATCCAACACAAAAAGAATTATTAAAATCAGACTTGTAGTTACGGAACTTAGCGCGTTCAAACAAACAAACAAAAAAAAACTCTTCTGCTTTATATGTATAATAGTATAAGATTGTATATTATGCTTATTGGTATTAAAACCTGTCATAGTTTGTAAGGTTTTCTTATTCTTATAGTTTGTTTTATATTTTTCTACCAAGTTTGCAATTTGTCATTTAAAGACTTTTCTGTTTTGTTTTGTTTATTTTTCCTTTTTATAATTATTGGAAATGTATAACGCCTGGTTTTATGACTGTAATGTTATACTATTTAATTGAAATAAATAAATAAATAAATGAGAAAGTCAAAAATATTTTAATTTAAAAATGCTTGTAAGTTTTACGTTTGGCTACCATCTCGCCTGGTGGTAAGCGATGAATGTGGCTGATGATGCAGCATGCTTAACTAATTACCTATACTTAAGACTTATACTCGGAATTTTAATTCGATTCCAAATTTGTCAATTTCAGTGTGGCAACGTTATGACAAGTACTAAATAGTGACGTTGCGAAATTATTCGATATGGAAATGCAATATTTCTGGATCGATTCTTCTCGTTTATAACATTTATAATTTTACTCTCGTGAACTAAGTATATCAGAAAATTAAATATTTCTGAACCGATAATTTAGTTTTGACGATTAATTAACGATCTGAGACGTTTCTTTTATAATTGTGTGTGAAATAAATAAAAAAATGTAATCATGAAGGAACATGACCAATAAAACAGATAGATGTATTATGGTAATAAGTTATTTTATAAATTGTCGCCGTCATCGCTATCGCTATCCTGTCACTTTCTGTAACATTTATTATAAAACACACACACTGATTGTTTATCGATTTTTGTGTGCATCACTACACTATTATATGTGGTATCATTATTTCACAAAATGACAGTAGCTATTGTCAAATCTGGAATCTAATTAAAATTCTGACTATAGATGACAGTAAGAATCTGTAAGTCAGGCCCCTAATGAAAAAACATACCAGGGGGCTTACTCTTGAATCCAATTTATTGACTTCATACTCTTGAGTTGCAACACTAGTGCTAATTTATTTTTTGTTTTTTTTTTCTTTCACTAGCGCCCATTGCATCCATATTGTTCAAATCAACTAAATGGTATTGAGTTTGGCTTTATATTCCGTACTCAGAATTCTATTTGAACCTTTAAAAATAGGGGTTGTATAGTTTTGACATTGAATAATTTATTAAGATTTTTTGTATTGAAATTGCATTGAGAAGAGATTTTTTCTTAATTGAAAAACGTCAGCCCAATTATTGATTACAAAATTCAGTACACACTTATTATTATAAATAAACTAAACTGTTCATAGGTTTAACTTGCTCTTAAGCTTGAACATAAAATAATAAAACAATACTTTTCTAGCCTCAGATGATGATAGTAAGCACCTACAATAGGTGTACTTAAAATTTACAAGAAATATTCAGAATCCCATTATTTTATTAGGACTATAAACTTTTATTAGTTGTTTAGGAACTAGAATTGTATCTTCCTGAGAAGGAAAGATGAAATGATGAATTTGTATTAAAAAAAACCTATTCTATTCTATTGTATAATCTTTTGGCTTTATATGTATTAAATTTTAACATAAAAATAAAAAACTCCTTGCAGGCAAACTGTTTCGATGAAGTAATGCATAATCTGTGTGCTATAACTTTTTTCAGAATGCAATGGAGTTGCATTTTTACTGGCCAAGTTATTGGAAAACCAATAAGAAGTGCATATGTATTATTGTAAAAACTTACTTTGCGGTGTAATGTGAATACACTGACGGCGTTGATCGATAAGTAGAAGGTGTTTTTCGTCCGTACATGTTTATTTTTCGTTCTTACTCGGCAGAAGTTGACGCCCTATTTCCTAACGTATACAGGCACTTGTTTTGCTAAGTTTCACTGTTATAACTACATGTAAGACACTCTTGGTTATGAAATAAGCTATAAAAGATCACATTTAACTTATTTTATTTACTATTTAATTCATAATTATCTGTTTTCTTTTATAAAGCCACGCCTGTAAAATTGTTTGTTGCTACTTTCCGTTGTCAATTTACAATAGTACACAACCAAATTAAATATTCGTAATGTTTAAATTTTTGGCGCTAGTGTGCTGCGAGAAATGCCTTTGCAAGACAGAGAAGTCAAAAATCGTTCTCATCTTTAATTTGATAGGCTTACACATTGAGCGTTTATAGAGGCAGTTACGAATTTAACGTTTTTTTAGTTTGTAGGTTTTAGTTCCAATTAAAAAACTGGTTCGTGTAAATATCAGAACAATAAAATAAAATAAATTAATAAAAGACTATATTTTGACAAAGTAAATAATTTTCAATCAATTCTATTGTCAATTGTCACGGCGCAGCGTCACCGCTGAAAATTTCCCGTAATTTCAGTAAATCGTGTTCTATTGAAAAATGGAAGAAATTACTACTCACGATGATGTGAAAACTTCTAATAAAAACGAAAAAAATGATAAAATCGATAAAATCGTTTACAATACTTATAGAACAAATTGTGGATTATGCTGTGAGTAAATTATTTCTCGTAGACCGCAAACAAATATTAATTTCATATCAAAAAATCTTATCGATTTTTAGTATATTGTAGTCGACAAATAAAGCATAATTATAACTCTATTCACTTACCTAAGTAAATTAGAGAATACTTGAACGTGCTCGCAATTATATGGCAGCCATTCCTTCTCCACTGTCACACGTCCAGATAGAAGGTTGTACCAACTACCAAGATATTTGAGTTTATAAAGCGTGAAGTCCCTCAAAACCTAGGGTTCAATTTCCTCTCAGCGCGTGTGAGATTGCGCTATGCCAGCCAATTTACTACACGGCTGCCCAGCGTAGCGCAGACCAGTGACCACTCAAATGGGGTCTAACATGATTACATGAATGAATTGATTAGCCTTATTATACCATTAATGAATTTTTGCTTATCTTATGGCGCTAGTGTCTACTTCTCGTTCTTTATCCAATACGCAATTAGCTAGTGATACACCATTGGACGTTCAAATTTTGATAGGTACAGTGATTGGTCCAACAGACCTCATGCTAGATTTACGCCATTTGATGAGCACAAAAAATATGGTAGCCCACATTGATTACAGCGCTTTATAGCTTATAGCTTTCCAACCACCAGAACCTTACAACTGGAACTATTTTACTCAAAAGTATGATTCAAATCGAAGCAGTAGTTTCAGAGAAATGTAGATAAACATTTTTTTTATACCTTTAATAGGTCTTACATGATCTTGTATTTTTTCAGGTATATGCCGTACACCTCCTACTCACTCCCGTAGCTATTATGGACACGTGTTCTGCACAAGTTGTTTTTATAAGTACATCTTTACTCCAACCAAAGCTGATTGTTCCGGAGACCTGACGAAGAAAAACTCTAAAGACGCTGTTGTCGTTCAAAAGTAACAGTAACAAAGTAACTTATGTGACGTGTTTTCAATAAAAAAGTGATAAAAAAGAAGTAAAAATCGTAACAGTGACATGTTTTTGGTTTTATTTTAGTTTTAGCCCTTTAAAGAAGGTAACAGTTACTGTTGTGACGTACAAGAAAAGAGCGCACCTGGCGACGTCCATGACGATTGACGAAGTCATGACCGACGTCCATGGTGTAGAGAGATGCACCGAATATTCGGGTACTATCCGGTATCCGGCTTATCCGGCCGTTATTTAACTATCCCGCCGGTTATCGGATGGTAATGTACTATTTGGCCGGATACCGGATAGTAAACTAGGTAGATTTTATAAATGAAATGTAAATAAAGACACATTTGAAATTGCATCTTTTTATTTTAAACAATTTTAACTTTTTATAATAAGTCAATACCTGCACGGCGACCGGCGTGGCGGTACGCGACACGCACCTACGAAACTCAAAATTGGTATCATACTACCGGCCGAATATTCGGCGGCTGGATATAGGCTGGTGGTCAGGCCGAATATCCGGTATCCGGTATCCGGCCAAACAACTATTCGTTGCATCTCTAGCTGTAGACTTTCATGGTGCCATTTGCATTTGCATGGTGAAGGAAAATTTCCGTCAAAATCGGTCCAGCCATTCCGGAGATAAGCCAGTAGAAACAGACTGACAAAAATTATGAAAAATGTTATTTTGGTACCTATGTGTATCTTATGTATATTCAAACGCATATAGTAAAAAGAAAAAGCGTCTAACCGTGGATCCACGTGAGACAATGTATTTTCTATTGTCTCGCTAGACGGGCATTCAAGCGGTTAATATTAAAAACAGACATTCCAATTTTTATTATTTATCTGTTTGGATAAGCTCTGTCATGTTTCGTTTGAAACTTGCATCAAAAACAGAAAAAAATAATTGTGAAGGGACGGAGGAGGGGAGGAGGGATAGGGGTTCGAGCGGGAGATATCAAAAATACGATGCTTAGTTTCTCGGTTTAAAATGAAATAAACCATATTTCCGAGAAATAAAAATCATTCTCGAAATACGTTCACGTTCGTTTCATATCTGTAACCTGATTTATCCCATTTTATATCTGCAAATAAGTATATCTAGCTACAAGTAGATCCTGCTAATATTTTCCATTTAACATAACTCGCTGGTATCAGTATAGACGTGTGCAGGGTGCATTTAACCGAAGCATTTTTTGGCCGGAGTGGCACCACGGCCTTACTGAAAACGGGCGTGAAATAATGCTTGCGTTATAGAGCCATGTAAGTGAGGTTACCAAAGAGGTCCACGTTCCCCTTTGTCTCTAAATCCCCCAAAAGACTGGTAAAGCTCTTGAGGGGTTAGACTGTCAAACACCGCGCGGTCACCGGTGACCGCAACCTATTGTTCTTTGTGTCTATAATGACGGTACTCAAAGAGTTAAATCAAAGGCATGGAAGATACTGCTTATGTGCAGTAGTTGTGGCTGCGAGGATGGTGAATTGATGAAATCCCAATGCTTAGTAGCGTTAGTTTGGCACAATCTAGCAGTGTAGGTAGGGTGCATTACAATATTGTGTATGTGGGTATTTGCATGGATACTTAAGTTTCAAATAAAAACAACTTTATAAATATTGACACCACATTTTTATTTATAAATCTCTCCGCAACAAACTTCTTTTTGCAAATATTCACTGTTTACATATATAGGACCACACTGCCACAAACACTTAGGACAATCCAATTCAGATCTACTAAATTTCGAATCTTGTAGATCAACCCATCCACAGTACGAGGGCTCATAATTCGAGCCATTCGATAATTTATCATTATCATTGAAGTTTTTCCATTTTTTAATGCGTTTTTCAGGTTCGCTTTGACCTCTCTCATGAAGATATTTTGTCAGCTTTTCGATTTTTTCTGCTGCACACACATTACAATTTTCCACATTTGCTGATTCGTCAATTGCATTGCAGGATTCGGGGATATCTGAAACCTCTGTCCGGTTTTCGAACGAAAGGTCCCAGGTGCCAAACGATTCGCCCGCAATAGAAACGGCTGGTGTTGCAGCTGTGAAAATTTTTCATATTCAACTCTTACGCACCTAAAATGTGAGATTATTGGTTAAAATTTGTTACGTTTTTACTGTAAAGGGGATAGAGTTTGAATTCCAACGTTATTTTGTCGTTATTTCTGGTTTACCTACTTTGTACTCTAGTGTCACGTTCGTCTTCGGTTAAGGGATGCACTGTGCTGCGTTGCACGCCTACAACAGAAACTTCAATTGACTTTCGAATGTGGGACAACTCTTGGCTTAAAATATTACGTCTATCGTGTAAAAAATCACTAGGGAGATTACAAGACGAGGAAATTTATATTGAATGTACACAATATTGGAAAAAGCAGAAATGGGTTAGTATTTAACCCCGTCACCTACTATTTTAGCTGTGCCCAGGACGCTACTGCTATGGAACAGACGCCAAAAACTCAACTTGGATCTTAATAGTTTTTCAATAAAGTCAAAAGTCTACTGAAAACAAAGGTTGGCTTACATTTCTTGGGCTCGTTATTCTGAAACCATTCCTGCGGGCCAGAGCCACATCGGCAGAAAGGCGGCTGTTGTCCTTGCATCATGAAGATAAACGGGGAGTTATCCTTGTTCCCCGCTAAGAACTCCCTCATATTCTCCGCAAATTGAGCATTATTCTGCCATTGGTCGAAGCAATTCTTGAAGAACTCGGCTGGGTTGTCCTTGTTGCGGTTCAGGACGTGCTTGTTGAAGCAATCCTCGCAAAACACTTGCCCGTAATAGATCTTGATGTTGTCCGTTGGAATCGTGTGGCAGAAGTCTGAAATAAATTAAATTTTACACTATAATTAATCAGTTTGTGTAAATAAATTGTTTTGCTTCACAAGCGTGACGTTGCGGCTCCAAAACCTAGTTAGTACTAGGTAACTAATATGCCTAAGTTAATTTAGACCTCTGACTAAAAAAAGTCAAAGTCTTTATTACCATACTGTTCATCAGTATGGTAATAAAGAGTAAACCTTTTACTACTTTACTTACAGCACTTCGCGCATTGAGGGTGGAAGCTCTGGCCGCCAACGTCTACTTTATTGCTTTCATCAACGCATTGCAAGCAGCGCGCGCAAATACACCTTTGGGTGGCTCCTCTCCGGCAGGCTGGTCCTCAGGTTTCGTTTCTTCTGTAAAAATATTTATACACAGTTATTAGATCTTCTATATAAATTAATTTTGCGAAGAGATTGAAAGGCCACACAGATGAAACGAGTAATTTACGTATTATAAATATCAAAACGTCGTATTTCTCTACTTTATTTATGACGATGATGATGATGGAATCTGATTAAAAAAGGAGCATAATCCCCGACTCCCCCTAATCCTCAAACCCCAAAACACCGGCAAACTACTTCTACCTATAAATCCTCTAGTGTTGCGGGTGTCCCGACGAAGCTGATTGCTTACCATTAAGTGATCAGTAATGCCAATAAATAACCCTCATTCATTAGGCCTTTACCTTTGTTATTATTATTATTATTGTCGTCAGTAGCAGCCTCTTGCGGCTTGCCACCAGGCGCCCACTGCATCCACCAGCTATTCGAGTGGATTCGTGGACTCTCCCCCCTGAACCGCGACAGTACGTGGGTCTTGAAACATTCGTTGCAGAATACGTGCCCATAAAACATCTTCAGAGACGGGGGAATCGTTCGGCAGACACCTGGGAAAGGTCACATTAGTATTTAGTGGACTCCAAGCTTTTAAGGTAGTTAGAGGCGCAAACTATTATAATAGGTACCCACTTCTCTCGCAGTTATGTTAAGAGTCCCATATGTTGGGTTGAGGTGAGCGTATTGCCATATATCGGCCAAGGCCCCAATTAGACTTTGCTCGGTATGGGAATCGAACCCGAAACCCCTTGCTAGCATCGCCTTTGTGACGACCTAACCAACGATGCAGTCATTTAAGACATACTAATAAGACGTTGAAAGAAAATTTACTATATGATTACATTTTTTGCATCGTCCGTAAATATCCTAAGGGATTTTGTAACCTGATACACGTCGATTTTTGTAAAAAATCTACAGAAAATATCTACAATAGCGACCAAAATAGCTTGTTACTCACAACACATGCTGCATAGCCTGTGGAAGCTGTGACCTTCAATGTCGACCCTATCTTCGGGATCAACCGGAAGGAAGCATCTTGCACAGAAACACTTCTTCGCCGGCTCCTGTGTTTTATCCATAATTGTTATAAATAATAATCAAACGTGATAATTTTGTTAAATTAAAAAATATATAAAAAAATTAAATAAACTGTGAAAATGATTCTTGAAGGAATCAGCAATTTTATTCCATGGCAGTTGGTGGAAAGGTGGAAAATGAGAATAGAAATAAACGAATATCGAATTCTAGCAGAACAGCGGATTTGATTTTGAAATTCTGCTGTTTTGTATGCTGACAGTAGTAACTTTTAGAGACTATATTGAACCTTTTCGGTGTGAACATTAAAGAGGTTTTATTTCTCAAGGGGCTGTGAGAAAAAGAGCTTGCATCGTGTCATTAGCAGCCTGCAGACTACAGCTAGTCTTTCATTATAATCATTATCAGCTCTTTCACTGCTAACTAATGCCTATCTAAAGTTACCACGAATGAATCCACAGGCGAAAATCTAGAGTATTATAATTTATAAACAATAAACAAGTAGAGTTTGCACAAGGATACATACGGTGTTTGGGACATAATCACAAAAATATTTCGTTATTGTTCTGTTTGAATAGAAATTCCTATAGCTTTTGTCCTTTGTTCCAGTTAAGCGAATGACTTTGCTTTGTAATATTTTTAAATATTCCACAATATAAACAATATTTAAAGTAAAATATTAATCATAAAACATTTTGTTAAAATCACTGTTCAATTTTACCTCATCATTAGTTCTATTAAAATATTATAGATGGCACTATTATAAATTACGGTCAACGGCGCTGAGCACATCACTGACTAATGTCGAATTCCATCTCGATTGTAAAAAGAACGTTGCGCGTCACTACTGTGTTGCATATGTGTGGTGTACAAAGTTGTTTGTGTTATCTTTCATGTTTTTATCAAAAAAGTGATGTTTGTGATCTTGTATGGAATTAAATCTACGCTTATTTAGTGGTAAAGTAGATCTATTATCTTATCTTCATCAGTTTGTTTGTATAGAATTCTTTAGTACAGAGTTAGCATAGGTTATGACGAACAGTGACCGTTGTGAACGTAACAGCTCATGTTTTTACATTTTTATGATTGAAAAACGAATGCCTGAACGCGGATGGAGTGGTTAAGCGATAAATCACCCATGAAGTCATCGTATTAACAACTTATGAGTTGTTTGAAGTGTGTTTTTAGTAAATATAAGAGTTTGAAAATCGCTACTGTTCTGTCAGATTGGAATATGAGTAAAACTTTTTTTTCTTAGTCGAGATGACCCCGATGTTTACTGTTGGAGCCTTCGTTTAGGCTGTGCTAACTGTAATGCCAATAACATCTTGAATTTGATTAAAAAAAATATACAAACGTTTTTTTAGTTTTTGCATGAATATGTAGTGCATAGATTTCGAACGGTTTTTTTTCGATGATATATCAATTTCCCCCCCTTTTATTATCAAGATTATTTTTTTATCTTTTGTATTATTGTTTGTTTCAAAGAAAATGTAGGGCAATGCCTTAGTTTTATCAGTTTCAAAGGAAATGCATTCTTATCTTTCACTCAGTACTATTTCTGATAAATCCGAAACCATAATCTGTATGTGCAGGTTCTTTTTTTTAAATACTATTTGTTTTAATCAAAGATAACAAAGAAAATCCTTTATTTTTTTAATAATTGGTAATGCAACCATATGCTGAAATCACAAGTTATAAAAATGACTAGCCTACCATAAATATGACAATACTGGAATTCCTATAAATATCGGCTTCATTGGTTTTTTCTAACTCAGTATTACATAGTAACTAAAACCAAAGCAACAAGTTGTTGTTTTTCTATATTAGTACAGCTCCTTATCCAATAAGCAAAAATATACATAGTAGTTTTAAAAATTCTTTTAAAACTACTTCAACAATTATATAGTGCTATAAGAAGGACGATGAAGGAAATACTAACACTATATCAGTCTTATTAGACACAGATACAGTATTTATAGTAGATTTTTATACCAAAAAATACCTTAAAAATAAAATGGAAAAATTGGATTTAAAAAAAATCCTCTATTAGTTAGTCTAGATTTGCCATAGTTGGATTCTTATTAGGATGACCAATGTTTAGCAATAACTGCCTCTTTTTTAAGTTTCAATGTTTAAAACTAATTTGACACCTCTGCCGAGTATCCACTGCTGTACTGCAGGCCTCCTTTATTAAAGTACTCTTAAGTATGGGAGAGCCATGCTTCGGCAACGGGCCGGCTCGAACGGAGTGCTACCACGGCCTCTTAAAAAACTGATGTGAAACAACATTTGCATTGTAATTCGTCTTGTGAGGGAGGTTACCGGAGGCCCAATTGCTATCCCAAATCAAATCCCCTCTCCAATCCCGGACAACCCTCAAATTCCTAATCCCAAAAGGCCCATTACGCACTTGTAACACGTCTAGTGTTCCAAACTGAGTGGAAATAGCTAGTGCTATATTTCCTTATCAACTTTACCTTATTAAGTACTGAAATAAAACAGACAATCGATTCTCAGACAACAATAGAGATATTTCGATGTAGTTTTTACATAACTTTTTGCCTGGAATTATATGTTTAGGTACAAAAACGTCTATTTTGTATAGGTACTGCTGTCATAGATATTTTTTCTGGTTATATTCTGAGTAGACATGTAGTCAGTTTAATATTGCTGTCATAATTTTATAAATATAACTGAAAATAAGAATTGATGGGTTGTCTTATGTGTAACCGCAAAAACGCCGAGCAAGAGGTTAAATAACATAACATAACATTACGCCTGTAATCCCCGAAGGGGTAGGCAGAGGTACACACAGAAGTAACACCCACTTTTCACTATTTATGTTATGAGTCCCATGTAATAGGGGGTGAGCCTATTGCCATATACCGGGCACAATTCCAGACTCCGTGCTACTACTGAGATTTTTTTTAAAAACCCAGTAATACTTTGCCCGGCTCGGGAATCGAACTTGAGACCCCTTGCCTGGTAGTTGCACTTGCGACCACTCAGCCAACGACGCAATCAGGTTAAATATGACTGGTGATTTTTTTTTTATTAAAAATTAAATTGATGTGAAACTGTAAATCTCTATCTCTCTCTACTCCTTAGGGGAGCAAAAGGCTTGAAGTTGTGTTTACTATTTTTTTTTCTGAACAGAACACTTTGATTATACTAAACTACCACTGCCAGTGTCGTGTAATGAAATTCATTTTTTTTTATTACAGAATGGTACATCATCTGGATGTTAAAAAAAGAAAAATGTCCCGCCATGAGAAAGCGAAGAGTGGCTTTGTAAGTAATTTATTATTTATTATCGGTTGAGGGACAATTTCTGATTTATAGTCTCTTCAGGATAGAGGTTGTATTGTTAATGACATTGGAGTCACCGCTTTAGGAAATAATCTGTGGTCCTTAAGACCAGATGTGGGAGGATTTTTAAACAAATCTAGGTGATCTTGACTGACAGGCTGATTCTCAATTCCAATAGTTGCAGGTAGGGCCGTCTTAGACTACGCTACTCTTGGGGATACGATAATTTGACACCCCTTTACCAATTTTTTTTTTTAACGTACCCCCAAATGAGTGTTTTCTCCTGTATCGTGGGTGCGTTCACAAACATACGAGTTCACATACACATGACACCCAGATCCGAAGCCACAATTTGTGAATCACACATAGATTGCTCCGTGCGGCAACCGAACCGCTACACGGTGCACGGAAGCCGGTTACCGCGCAACTTGTAGCGGGTGTGTGTCTCATAGAAATTGTCGGATCCTTCAAGACCCCTGAGAATGTCCCCCCCGAGTGTCCTTGTGGTTTTTAGTCAGTAAGAGTCTGACACTCCCTCCCGTCTCACCCAGGCGGGAGCAGTCACTCGATAATCTTCCCCTTAAAAAAAATGGTAAAGACGATACTGTGTGAGGTCCCTAAGATCAGAAGTGGGAGGATCCTCCGACCAGTCAAGGTGATCTTGCTTGCTCGGCTGATGCCCAATCCCAACAGTTGTAGGTAGGTAAAATTGACAATGTTAGCGGTCGATCATCAATAGGCGATATCCGACTGCACGTGGCGCGAGCGACCGCAGGGAAACCAGGGCGATTTTGTGTAAAAAGTGTACTACCGTAAATTTGGTCGTCGTACTGTACAATTGGGAATTTCTATCCATGCATGCTAATTCGCGCGTAAAACTTTAACAATTAGGTCCAATTTTTTTCTATGTACAACTTTAATCTGTCTATATGTCTATTAATTATTATGTTTTCGGCTTACTCACGTAATTGTTTGACGAGGAACTCGACTAGTTTCAAGCTATGCTAGAGGCTCATATTTGTGAGCAGCATTCCGCGACCTACGACACAGCGTCTGTCGCGCTGCTATGCTACTCAAACAGTTACGCAAGTAAGCCGAAAACATAATAATTAATTTAGTATGTCTCACGAAAGTTTTAATATTGGTCTATGTTTATAGTTATAATATTGGTCTATGTCTATGTTTATGCTCGGCGCCTATTAATCGTAGCGTGATGTTTTATAGCCTTCCTCGATAAATGGGCTATCTAACACAGAAATAATTTTTCAAATCGGACCTATTGTTTCATAGATTAGCGCGTTGAACGCGCTAATCTAACAAACAAACAAACAAACTCTTCCGCTTTATATAATAGTAGTTAAAGTAGTTAAGTAGTTATGAGATATAAAGAACGTACCTTCACTAAATATTATAAATATATAATAAAGTCGGTTTCTCAGACGTCTGTCATTCTTAATGAGATTGCCATTCAACCGTGCTAACATCCCATTCACGCACACTGTCACATTGTTTGTAACTTGTACATACATGTATGGTTCGCATAGAAATCTTAAAATAATTCATCAAACTTCGGCAGAAAATTAAATAAAAATGGAAAGTGTTAGCGTAGTAATTTTGAACCAGGGCCTCTTAGACATTCAGCGTTGTTTCACGCTGAATGTACAAAGGTAACCGGCTCACTGCCACTTCAGCTTACTAACCCTTTTTCATAAAGATATAATAATTAATTTGA